ACAACTTATACTTTAAGTATCCATAACAGAGCTGCTCACAGAAGAGTTAAAAAACTTATAGAAAAACCAAAACAACTTATACTTTAAGTATCCATAACAGAGCTGCTCACAGAAGAGTTAAAAAACTTATAGAAAAACCAAAACAACTTATACTATAATTATCCAAGTTCCTTTAAAAATAAATAGGGTAGCACAATTTATTATCATGCGAGTTGTTCTTACCACATTATGAATCTAATAAAATATAAAAGTAACTAACTACTTATGCGAATTGTTTTAGTATATTATATCCCTATTATAATGTTTAACTCCATTGTGGCAGTCTGTTTCTTTTTAAAACTTTATAAAGATGGCTTGTTTATTATTCAGATTTATATTATGTCATTGATAAGAATGTGATTCTAACTTGGGTACTTACTGAGCTACAACCAGTCATAGCCTCATAGGGCATGGCAATTTTGCAGGATGAAAAAGGATATTCTTGAAATAGTGTATAATCAGACATTTGTTTCTGCCCTGTAGTTAACAGAACCCATCTTACCCACGGAAAACTTCGGTAAATCTTATCAACCTAGTGGACACAAAAAAAGTTAGCTGAATGAATACACGCAAAAGTTAATGATAATGTACAGAAAAGTAACTTTACATAAATTTTACTTAAAAACTTGAAATCTCTGTACACCGAGCATAAAATTATAATTTACTTTATAATCTAAACTGCTATACGCTATACTTACTCAGTGTGCTTCAATACCCCTTATAATATGAACAATAAATACACCATCGAATAAACAAATCCAAACCAGAAAATAGTAAGAAAAAACCGAAATATTTAGTCTCTAATAAACAATACAAAAACTGAAAACCTAAACCATTCGTGCCATACTTTTATGCAAACACCTCATAACTCAAATAAAATGTGTAAGGACCTCCACCTTCTCTTCAGAAGATTTGAACAAACAAGAATGAAACAAGGTCAACATCACCAAACGTTTGGTTAATACTTCATATGTTATTTTATGGATACTCATTCCAAACAAATTCAAAATGTCACGCCGAAACCGCGACGCAATAATAGAATCTGTAAGGATACCACACAACATATGAAATAACATTAGGTAAGGATATAAACTAAGAATATCACACAACAGATGTGATAACATTAGGTAAGGATATAAACCAAGGATACCACACAACAGATGTGATAACATTAGGTAAGGATATAAACCAAGGATACCACACAACAGATGTAATAACATTGGATAAGGATATAAACTGAGGATACAACACAACAGATGTAATAACATTAGATAAGGATATCAACTAGGGATACCACACAACAGATGTAATAACATTAGGTAAGGATATAAACTAAGAATATTACACAATAGATGTAATAGAACAATTAACGACCTACGAAGAAGTGATAAATTATAATAACGCTACGATGTAGAAATACGTGAAACCTTACCTACTGTCTCATCCTAATTGAACTGAGAATACAATACCAGAACCATTGTATAAAGCAATAACCAAATCTTAACCAGACAAACAGTGATAGAGAGATGGTCTGCATAAACACTATTTCTCCCAAATCACGTTTCTAGCCGTTACTAATTAATTTTACTCTAGATCCATACAAAATATCTAACAACTGTGGTGACTGAAGTGTGATAATATTAAAGCAGTATCAAGACACGTCTGAGAATGTTAACTTCATAATACATTAAAGAGACGAGAATGTTCAACGTGATCAAAAGCCTTTTAATCCTACTTAAGCAACAAATGTTATAGTTAATGGAACATCTACAACATGACCTAACTAAAACAATAATATAAATCACGGTCGAAGCCAAAATTTGGCTAGAATCTTGAAGCCAATATTTAACAGGTCAAGATTACAAATCAATCACTAATCCCTTTCTTTAGATATAGGAGTAACATTATCATGTTTTACATGTTTAAGCAGTAATCGGACTTTGTTATACTTAAGGGCTTTTTTGCTACCCCCCCCCCCCCAGTGGCACAGAGGTATGTCTGAGAACTTAATACGCTAGAACGGTTTCTATAGTCGTGGTTGACAGAGCACAAATAGCCCTTTGTGTAGCTTTATGCTTAATAATAATCATACAAAGATCCTGAAAATGAAGATTACAATTTTATTGCTTAAGTAGGAGAAATATTTAATTTTGATCATTAGTAAGCACTACCAAAACACATCATTTATGGGTTAATTAATCAAAACAGAAACATTTCCCTGTGCTTAAGATAAGTGAACTGTTAACATTCTCACTTGAGGTAGAAGTCTAGCAACATTGAAACACAGAGTGAAGATAAAGATTTGTTTAGAGTCTCCAGATAAACACTCGATGGTTTTCTCCAGGTTTGTGACTCCATATTGAAGTTCTCCAAGAGAACGGAACGTCAGTGAGTTCGTCACTATCTTAATAGAGTTCTTCTGTAATTCCTTTACTACGGAACCAGATTCTGAAGCGGCTTGAATGAAACAACAATTCAATTTTAAATTTTAATGCTCTTGGCATTGTTAGTATGTATATATATATATATGTGTGTGTATGCACAGTTTTAAACGAATTTTAGGTATATATATATATATGTATGTATGTATACCTTAGAATTGCTTGTTTATATAAATATATTTATCACTATACTTTAAGCTTCAATACGTATGTTAGTAGTTGAGTTTCCCTTGTATCAGTTGGATCATGATGTAATTTCACAAATTTCATAGAATCACTTAAAATATACTTAGCTTTCGTTGAGCATCAATCTTTATCTAGAATTACGATCCTGTTTCCTTTGTCAGAATTTGAAGTGACAATACCGTCATTTTCACTTAGGTTCCTGTAAATTCTTCTGTACTTAAATTAAGATAATATTTATATTCACAGTTGAAATTATTGAAACCATTCAAAGCTATACTACTATTCAATATTATATTTGTTCATTATTGAACTGAAGAAAGATACTATTCTGAACGAAAAATAATATCTGAACATTGGACCATCATGTAATCAACCATCCAAGAATTTTTTTATAAACTATCTAAAATTCACAAAGAAGGATGTCCTTCAGAACCTCTAGTTTCTATCATCGAAACTTATATCCTCGCTTTATGTGTTTTTTGAAGAGTTTCACCACTAATGAATACACTTTAAAAGAATGTTTTAAATTTTCTAATGAAATACAACAGTGAAATGATGTAGAATATTTATTTAGTGTGACGGATTTATTATTCTATATTTATTTTAATATTGATGTTTGTTTAAATTTGATTTATATTTAAAAATTCACATAAATTATACTGTTAAAAATGTATTTCGAAACTCCCGCATATTATCTAAAGTTGTAGAAGATTCTCGAGTGTAAGAATCAACAATATATATGTGTGTACGTAAACGCTAGTGTAGCTTTGTATTGTTGCATAATCTGAATTTTCGAGAAACTCTCCACACGCGTATAAATATAATCAATGCGACGCGCCAGAAAACAGTACCTGTTCTTGGTTTGCTATAGTTGGTGTGCTATAAGCTTCGCAAGCTATAACTGTGATTGTTGTAACGCTAATTAATCGGGAAACATAACATATATGACCAGGAATATTTATAAATTTCGAACATTACAAACCATTTAACTTCAGTGGATTCACATCAGACTTTAGTACTTTTACGAAAACATTACCTAACATCATCGGTGGAAACTCAACCTCTAATCGGTGTGTGATCAGCGAGAACTACAGGGCTAGCTAGCTCACTGTTAAGTGAATTATACCTACCTCAACTCGAAATTAACTCCCTCATCGTCAACCCTCGAAAAGATATCAAGGAAGTTACAGACTAGAAAGAAGACTTTATATTGCTTGTAAGTTTGTGAAACTTTTGTATATAAATCATTGTTCGTAATAACTATTTGTAATAACTGTTATTGTAAATTGTACTGTTGCTTGTATATTAAAACATATTTGGATTAAAAAGGAAAACTGTGTGTATGAATCTTGTTGGCAAATATCATAAATTGGAGATATATCGGCAAATATTTAACTACTAAATTTAAATTATCATTTAACTCAGTTTTAGACTATTTGAAATTGTCATATGTAACATTACAAATATATCTTTTAGAAGATATCATACAGCAAAGTGTTGATCTGATTTACAACGATACTTCCAATAATATTATCATTCCTAAATCAGTTTTTCTGAAATTAATAAACTTTCACAATAAAATATTTTTCTTCTAAATGGCAAGATTTATGATCAGATCGATGGTGTTGCTCTGGATTCGAGATTGGCGCCTTCTTTGGCCAATCTATTTTTGTAATATTCTGAAACTAATGGTAAGAAAATTGCCTAAAACAGTTTAAACTACCCCACTATCTGAGAGGGACGTGGATGATATATTTACCATCTTTAACATTTGTTACACAAGCCATCTCGGCATCTTGATGTAGATAAAAAAATAATCATTCCGGAAAGGTTAGGGTTGTTTTGATTAGGCAAACAGAAATCATTTGGCCCTATTTTTGAGGTCTAGGTCGCTAGGCCAGACCCGTGACCTGACCCAAGACCATGTGAGCCAACATGGAGAAGTTAACTTGTAAATATAAAATATAAAGATTAACAAGAAAACATGCTTGATATGTTTTAGATGTGGTTATGAATGTGATGGTTTAAGTGTAGCGATTAGGCTAAACCATAGATCCAGGTCGGATGAGAATAGAACTTATTCGAAGATATCCCAATCGATTTAACATACAAGCTAAATCGGAGAATCGTTAATTAATTACTACATTAAGAGCGAAACATAAAACAATGGCCACAATAGCATGGTTATCTTCAAAAAGAGGGATTAGTTTCAATATTGTGCGAAACTAAAGGCACAGTAAAGCCCAAAGATGAAATGTTGAAGTTGAAGCAGATGCACGATGCATTACAAGATGATTTTCCAAGCGATTCCCAAATTGAAAATGACATTTCTGCAATGAAAAGTAAATATAAGTCGGATGGTATAATGCCCAGTATGGTACCACCATAGTAAAATCTATATAGATTTCATCATGTCATATTTTCATTAATATTTAGTTATTGTTTTTTTTTGTTGTTGTTGTTGCTGCATTTTGTTTGTTGTTGCTTTTTAATTTTAGAAGTTGTGGTGATCGAAATAACCCTAAATTCATCGGTTTCCGGAATGACTCCCATGTTAACTATCCTAGGCTCCGTACTAAAAGATGCTTGGCTGGTTCGTGTGGCAGATGTTAGGCAGATCCCAGTTTCTTCAATATTAGAACAGTAGACATAATAATATAAAGTTCGCTGTTGACTTCAGAAATAACCTAAACTTTCAGATTTGGGAAACTTTAATTAGCAATAATAAATATAATTTCCCGCGTAAAGTGTACCACAAAAATATAACATTTACTGGCTCCTACCTTAACTTTACAAGTTTTATTCCAAACATTTTTTACAAAAAAATTAGTTAGAATATTATTTCATTATGTATATAAAATATGAGGTTTTGAATAAAGAATTTAATAAAATCAAAGAATCCTTGTATTAAAATGACTTTTCATTATTTATCACTGATAGAATACTTCGTAATTATGTAAATAGGTAAAGTGTTAGTACACCACATATAGTTAATGTGCTTAAATATTATCTTCTAATTAGGTTACCATACAGGATGTATGGTAACCTAATTAGAAGAGAATCTCTACTGTTGTATGGTAACCTAATTAGAAGAGAATCTCTACACAGTAGAGATTCTCTTCTAATTAGGTTACCATACAGGAGTAGAGATTCTCTAATCATTGAAAATAAATTGATGATGGTCATTCGAAGAATGCATCCGTAGGTAAAGTTGAATTGTGTGTTTAAACCTAATTGTCGCTTAAATTAATTTTTAAGATTTAAAACAGTATTCCCGTTTTAAAGTCATCGAATGTAGTTTATAAATTTTCTTGTCCTTGCTATCCGCAAGGCTATATTGGGCCAACTAAATCAAATCATTAACGCGAATAAAATAATATGCCACTCTTAAGTTCCGCTCTTAATTAATTCGAATGAACTTAAACAAGTCCTAGGAAAATACGACTTTGTTATTCGTTTCGATTGGTTTAAGATCTTAGCAAAGACCCATGATGAGCAGAACCTATGAGTAAGAGGTCGCTTGCTCGTTCACAAAGAGATTCGTGTTATAGAACCAGCAAATAGATTTCTAATAGTATAAAATGTAATCGTTTGACTTAGCTAAAAGCTAGTGAAGGTAGGGGGGTTAGATTCATGTAATCGTTTGACTTACTAAAAACTAGTGAAGGTAGGGGTTAGATTCATGTAATTGTTTGACTTAGCTAAAAGCTAGTTTAGATTTCAGATGCATTTTATCTGTAACTAAAATTCGAAATATCAGACCTTGACATTGTTCACATACATATTAGTAATATTAAAGTGTTATATATATATATATATATACACACTATCCTACCAAAAGTCATGGGACACGGGTAATTATGAATATAACATGCCTTTTATTCCAGGAAATTAATAGCGTGTTGGCCTTAATGACTGCTTCAATACATAATAAAAGACTGCCTACTAATATCTGGTAAAAAGCTGATGGTGTTGTACTCCACTCCTCCTTTAAAGCATTGGTAATCTCCACTACTGAAGAGGTTTGTCTTGGTCTTGCCCTTATTCTGCGTTCCAATTCATCCCAAAGATATTCTATCGGGTTGAGGTCGGGGCTCTGTGCTGGCCACTTCAATGTTCCGATGTTATTCTCTTCAAACCAAGCGTTCACAATCTTTGCTTTATGACATGAAGCATTATCATGTTGGAAGGTGTAAGGGCCGGTAAAATTGCCACATTGTAGGCCACACAAAATTATTCAGAACATGAATGTAGCACTCAACATTCATCAATCCATCTGCTATGACCAGTGGATCTAGTCCATACCACGAGAAGCACCCCAGACGCTACCTAGCTTGACGTCATAATGTGGATGATGTGGTGTCACACACATAACGCCATGCCTGATCTGGTCTTGGGAATTAATGCAATTGTGGTAGGTGTTGAGGTTTAATAACCCAAGGATGGTCAGAAATTAAAGTCATTTCCCTTTGGCCCTTTCTTGACTTGTTGATTGTTTTAGAGATTGTGGTAGTTAACGTTCAGAGAATGAGCTATGACTTCTGTGGAATTTTGGTAACGCTTACATGACGTGTCGTATTCAAGAGGAGGTGAAGAAGACAGGAAGTGCATTTGCTTTCTTGTTGTTGTGGTGAGATGGCATTGAAGCTTTAGGTTTGATATATGAGGTTAACGGATCACGAGCAAAGACACCAGACAGCTAACCCCCACCCTAGATGGCCGACGCACCCCGCCTTAGAACCATAGTTTATCGCTTGTTAATGATACTTACACATAACAGAAAACATTCTGTAAATAAAAATTACAATTTCAAATCAGGTAATAATAGGTATTATTCAATAAAAGACATAAGATTGACAAACTCTAACAATTTCAACACGTTATATAAAACAATTCCACATTTATATGTAACACATATACAAATACACTTGTAGTCCATTGTTCGTTCTGGTCAGTAACCTGAAGGTCGAGAAGGACAAGGCAAAACCCTCAAGGTGGTTGTTGAAGTGAGCTTTGTTTGTTTTTGTTAAGTAAGTTGTTCCATGAGGCTGGTATTTCTGCGATTTTGGTGAATTTCGTATGAAGGTTATTTCTATTTTTGGACTTGTCGTAGTATTTATTAACGACGATAGTGAAGCGCGTTCGGATTGTAGTTGACTTACTTTATGTGCCAGAGGTGTAAACTGGAAGACGATTGGCTAAGCGTATTGCTTTTAATTGGGTTGATTTTAATTTTGTATACATATGTTCCGGCATGTGACACGTGACAGGGCATTCGTATTCGAGAACTGGTCTAATGTGAGCGTTATATATTAACATTATAGTACTGGCGCTGCAGCGTTTGGCGTAACCGCTAATCTTTTTGAGATAGCTGATTCGCTGTTTTGCTTTAATCATGATTTCTGCGAAATGTGTGTTCCATGTTAGCTTTTCGTTAAAGGATAATCCAATAAATTTGATTTCCTTCTTGAATTTTATTTGTGTCTCATAAAGATTAAACTTAAGTGTACTAACTTTTTTCATTTGTTTTAACCTGCGATGGAAGATAATGGCTTGTGCTTCAAGTAGGTTTTAACAGGACAACACCAGGTGTTGCACCATGTGACTATGTGGTCGAGAGTAGCTTGTATTCTGTTTGCTGCCAATAGTGGATCACGTGACGTATTGTGAGGATTGCGTTTCGGAATGTATCGGAAAGTTTATGTCGTTGGCAGATGAAATGTACAGTAAAGGACTTAAAAACTGAGCTTTGGGGAACTCCATCTTGTAGTGGAAATGAGGGTGAAATGTTATTATTAATTTTTACTCTCGCGGTTAGTGAAATAGGTACATTGTAATTGCATAACTTATATCTGAGGCCGTTATGCCAGAGGGCATCGAAAGGTTTTTTGACATCTAGAAAAACACCGATTGTTGCTTGGTTACGGTTGAAACCTTTATGAATGGATTCCGTTAATCTTTCTAAATGATTTATTGTTTGAAGTTGTTTACGTGACGTGTTTTGTATCTCAAAAAGGAGCTTGTTTGATTCGAGATGGAAAAGTAGTCTTGTGGTTATTATTTTTTCCATTAGATTGTCTATGCAATTTAACAAGCTATAGTTATTTGGATTACTGGGATCGTTACTTTATTAGGGATGATGCTTATGATAGCGGATTTTCATGCTTTTGGGAGATAATCTGATTTTAAAGATAGATTAAAAAGGGTTGTGAGATGTGTAATGAGTGGGTCAGATGCGTTTCATTAAAATAATGTTTCTGAGGTTTTTTCATTTCTTAATGTGAATTTGATTTCAGCTTTAGTAAAAGGTCTTGAGATGTTTATATCGGTGAGAAGGATTACTGTGTTCAGTTGAACAGGGAATGTGGGAGTGAACGTGTTGCTGTTTTCCTGCACATAATTATTTACTTTGATCGTGATTGAAAATGTTGGTATTGAGTGTGGTGAAGACTGTCGTAAAATAATCACTAAATAGTTTAATGTTGTCCTCGTCTGAATTTGCTACGGTATCATTATATTTTATGGTTTAATTTGTTTGAGAGTCCAAAAAAGCTGGATCTTGTTTGTTATTGTCTACTGATTGACAAAAGCGTTGCCAGTTTTCTTTTTAATATTGTTGTTTGTGTTATTGATTACGGTTTGTGCCCCTTGTTTGTATAAACGCTCTACCAAATCGCCCTTCTGTTTTTATGAGGTTATGAATTTGTGGTGTTAACTGCTAGCTATTAATGTTTAGAATTTTGTGTGGGATTAAAACGCCCCCAAGTGGCACAGTGGTATATCTGCGGACTTACAACGCTAGAATTCGGGTTTCGATACCCGTGGTGGGCAGAACACAGATAGCCCATTGCTTAGCTTTGTGCTTAATTACAAACAAAGATAAAAGATGGGTTAGAACGGTATTTCCTAAAGCTTTTCTGCAGCGAAGACAACTATTGGCTGGGTTTTTAAATATTAGGCAGAAGTAAGTCCGTGATTAGTCCTAAATTTTCCCTGTTTGCATTAAATGAAATGGGGTTGTGATTGCTCCCGATGTGTTCTAATACCTTAAAATTGTTTATATATTTTCTTATAGCACAGCCACATCGGACTATCTGCTGTGTCTACTGAGGGGAATCGAACTCCTGATTTTAGCATTGTAAATCCGAAGACTTACCGCTGTCCCACTGGGGAACATATATATGGAACGAGCGATTGTGAGATGATTACTAGGTCTAGAATGTCGTGTGAGCCGTTGTAAAGTGTGTGAGTTGGCGTGTTATCATTAATGACTAATAGATCGTTATTTTCGACAAAATATATGTAGAATATTATCACTATGGCTTGTTTTCCGGCAGTTAAATTCATGATGTTTCAATTGAGGTCGCCAATTATAATTGCATACATGTTGTGATCAATTACTGTTTGAATTAGACTGATGTCTGCTTTTATATAGCTGAAAAAGTGCCGACATTTATGAGCTGTTTACGCCTACGTTAGCGATTGAATTCAACTAAAATGGGAACGGGCAATCAAAAGAGGAAGTATTATAGGTGAAATTAGACTCATGTAACTCACGAAATTCGGAGAAATCGAGCGTGACCAACTGACCAGACTGACCAACCGACAATTCGTTTTTATTATCATAATAGTGTATATAATACGTTGTTCTATAGAGCATGATACTTCATATTCAATGAACAGCAGTTTAAACATGTTATCTCCTTCCCGTTAAGGCTCGGCATGGCCAGGTGGTTAGGGTGCTCGACTCGCAATCTGCGAGTCGCGGTTTCGAATCCCCATCCCACCAAATATGCTCGCCCTTTCAGCCGTGGTGGCTTTGTAATGTGACGGTCAATCCCATTATTCGTTTAAAAGAGTAGCCGATGAGTTGGCGGTGGGTGGTGATGACTAGCTACCTTCCCTCTAGTCTTA